AAAAAAAAAACTGCTAGCAAGGCTGGAAAGCAACTTTGGATCTGGCATGCATCATTGCTACAGGGACCAATAATGTAAAATAACAACTGAACTCTTTGTTCCACTGGCAAATATGTGAACTTTAAACTCAACTTTGGCAACATCCAGATTTTCTCTAAGAAATCACATGTCTTAAGGTAGAAGCCTAGTCATAATTTTTGAGAAAATTGGTAATAAATCGCATGACAATGTTCCCAGATTTTTTTAATAATTCAGAACAACGAAAGGTACTCCATCATTAACAATATATGATTTTTTCAGCCTATGTCACCAGGCTAGATTTTGAGATATTGCATAATATCTCTGCCATAGGAACCTGTGGTAAAAGTGTTATAATACATGTAGTGTAAAAATTGCGATTTTCCACTAAAATACAACCATTAATTTCTCGAAAAAAAGGCTGGTGACCCCCAACTTTTTTTAGATCAATATCCTTATATTGCCTTGGAGTACAATTTATTGCAAAATGAATAAATTCTGGGTTTTTTAATTTATGAGTAGGCTTCTACCTTAACTTAAATTCTTGGAAAACAAGCCAAACAAAAACAATTGTGTGTTAATCAATGGATTACTTTTCTGAGAACTTATTTGCAAGTTATGGTTTATTTATTTCAAGAGTGACACATACATAAATCAAAGGAAACACATATCATGTTTTATTTCTTAGGTATATCTCTAATTCTAAATTAATTAACAAAGAAAGTGTATGTACTAGCTTACAGGAATAAAATGGTAGCTTGGCTGTATTATGTCAACGTATCTATATTTGAATGTGATGCCATTTTAATCATAAAAAGTCACATTTTGGTGATTATTTCAAATATGGGTTTTTGTGACTGAATACAGCTGTAAAAGTAAACCTGGAAAAAATGTTCATAACCAACCAGCAAATAATTGTTAGAGCTTAGGATTCCTAATTACCATATACTTCCAGTGGTACACATACATCATTTAAACATGACCTTTTCAAAACACAAATCACTGTTCCTCTCAAATGAATACAGTTGATTGTAACTCAAAATTGTTCAGCTAAGAATCTCCAAGGTTTATAATTTTATAGTATTCTCATGATAATTGAAGCCACAAAGAATAAACTTCATTATAAATAAATCATGTAAGACTGCCAGCCCAAGGGAATTAACAAGTGATTTACTAGAATTAAATCCAAATCACGCAAATGAAAATCAAATGATTGTAGAATTAGTCTATCCAATATATCATTTGGAACTGAGTTACCATAATTCAATTTTCTATTTGCTAATGCTTTTTTGGAGAATGGCACAGGACATATATTAAAACTTTAATATATGATCTAATTTACTCAACTAATTTGACACTAGAGTACAATAATTAGCATTATATTCTAGAGGAAAAATGATGATCAGACCTGATTGGCTTAAACTGGTTACTTTGGTGCATACCACCTAGCAGATGTGTACATGCAATTATGGCAGACGGCTAAATGCAGCAAAAACTTCACATGATGTACAGAAGTGAGCTGAAATTGGAGAAAATAACTATTACATAAAATAAATTCCCATTTTTTTTATACACATTACGTATGATATATTGACTAAATTTCCCTATTTGATGAGACTATTACAGTACATCCACGTTTGATGATTCAAAATGATATTTCACTGCCACAGGATACAAATTTATATACCGTTTAATGTGAAACACAATACATCACTGCTTCCCCCAGCTTCAATACAAAAAGCGCTTTTTGCTTTCATCCTTCCATTCGATACACTGTTGAATTTCATAGAAGCTTGACAAGCTTTCTGACGTATTTTACTCAATAAATATTGCATTTGCACCATGCTGCTAGAGGAAGAGTCAACTGTTGCTAGGCAACAATGCTTTTCATCCAGATTGTTCTTTTTCTATAATTCGTCCCAAGAGACTTATTCATATGGGAGTACAACTGTATGTGTTAATGAGATCGACAATCACATCTGAAACATGGTAATTCATACAGTTGAAAAGAAAAAAAAATATTTAATTTATTTAGTATAACTAAAATAAAAAATATGTACATAGAAGGTAACAAATTTTTAATTATAAAAGGCAGGGGTAAGATTTCATCGATTATAATTAAAAATCAGGAACACAAATTGTTATTGCATATGCACCATGCACATTAATCTTTTCTGGACGACTCAGATGTATATTTTTCAAACTGACCTAATCATAATGCAAATGTTTGTGAGTAAATTTTATTTTAAACCAAACCATAGACCCTAGAATACTAGGATCTATACAATAGATGATGTTGAATATTAAAATTATTAATTGTGATTAACATTTTTTAATGAAATAAGCACATTTTGAACAGGACAATTTAATTGCAATTGATTAATTGATGTGTTAACAACACATTAGATGTACACAAACATTACAGACATCATACAGTGCCCTGGAAGAAAACATCATCAGGGTTTTCCATAATATTTTCATCAAAAAGCTCACATACTCAATATTTACACACAGTACACAAAAACATAGTGATAATTTTTAAGGACAAGTTAAGGCTAATTAGCCGGCAACCACCTGCTTTTAACACATTCAACATAAACAGATTTCACTCCATATTTTATGGGCAGCACACATTGCTATGAATGGATATGTTGTTTTTTCAGAAGAGAAATGTTTACTCTATATATTTGACAGTATTAACTGATGTTTTCCTGTTAACACCCACAGGAAACCAAATGGATGCTGAATTTAACAACACACTTTGATTTACATATCGGTAATTGCCAGTGTATTACTGTTCATCAAATTAAAGTAGAATGAATGAATGAAATCAATAGATTGCTTCCTGAATTCGTTCACATGTTTCCTGAATTTACCATCTAGTACTATGTTATTAAAATAACCGTAACACATATAAAGTCAACTTCTCTTTAAATTTCATATTGACATTATGAATTTAATATTTCATTAACCACTTGAACTGTGGTGTGTTTTTCACCAATTTGTTCATATTTTTTAATACTGAGTCAAAACTTGGATCAAATGAGTAAACTCATGCCAGTCACCTAACAGCTTAAATTTCTACAAATCTGTTACGGTAACTTTCGATTAAAAATTTCCAGTTTTTACAAAATAGCTACAAATAATAATAAAATATAGACCATAAGTTTGTGGATTCAGACCACCAACTACGAACACGCATATCATTATAGATTTTAGATGGGCACTTTTCATTTTCTGGCTATATTCCTGATACCATATATATTTATGATAATGGCCTATCATATAAACTCCATTTGTAAAGACACACCGCACAAGAAAATAAAGGTATAAACTATGTTTAATAAAAAATAAAACTAGAAACCAACAAGTGCATTGAACAAGGTCAAAAATAGCTAAGCTACTTAGGCCAAAGTTACAGCAAGCTCAGTGTACATGCATTTAAAAATACATCTGTGAAAAACACAGATCCCACTTATTAGTACATGTGATTATCATTTGTATATTACAAGTGTTTCGATGGGCAAAATAAGTCATATCTTGATGATTCAGTATTGGAAATGTACTTTTGGTTCAGTAAATAGAAGACATTTCTATTTATACATCTATTGGAGCTAAGTAACACAAAAGTCACGTGAAATTCAGGGACCATACATGAGCATCCATTTTCAGAAATCTAATTTAATATGGGCAGGACTATTATCGAAAAAACATCTGGACACGAAAACAAGAAGAAAAATTTACTGGAAATTCAACAGTAAAAAAACAGTACCTATAACAGTCTAGAAATATCATCACCACCCTAAGAATTCTAATGCTCCAATATAATCAGGCATGACACATCTACCATGCGTTACAGAGAATTGTTTTATATTTGCTTTGATATGAATTCCATTATATAATGGCTAGAGCCTTTGAACACAAAAAAATCATAAACGATGTGTGATCTGGATGCATTTATTTTTATCAAGTATTTCATCTAAAATTTTTGCTTTTTTTTCACAATTAGTCCAGAGTTTTACAGCGTTATCAGGAAAGCCATTTAATTTATAACATGTTCAACAAACGTTTTATTCAAATTCAATTGAGACAACTGGATTGGCTATAATAATTTGCATGGATTTCCACTATGTGCTGCAAAGCCAATCAGACTTTGGTCTATACGCCTATACAGGAGTATGTATTCATCTGTGGTGACGTCTAGGTAATCCTTGTGATTGGTCAACAGCAATTTTCAAATTTATGAATGTTTTTCATGTTTATAAACTGTAAAATTAAAACTTTAAAACAAGCTTTTCTGAAATCACTGTATTTATTTCAGTTTTAATATCATTTGTTTGATTTTTTTTTAGTCCAAATGAAATGTAACATTGATAGCGTGCCCACCCCTCAAAAAAACAAGTGTGAACTTAAAACCTTTTGGAAGTCACATGCTTCATTCACTGCTCTAGTGAGAGAGAACATGATATGTATTTTTTACAGTATGAATAATTCTATATCCCACTCAACCAATCACGATCTTTTTGAAGTACAGTAATATTAAGAATTTTAACTAATCATATTATTTTAATTATTTTGTCGTTGATGCCAGCAAATTTTTATATTGACCACAATTTGGAAATTTAATTAGCCTGAAGAGAATCCCCCAAATCTCAGCAACAAATAGATTTTGTAATAAATTTAAAAATGATACTGTGGAAGATGGAGCACATTTTAGTCCAAGCAAGAAAATAACTTTTTGATTATTGTAAATTGCTATCAAATTATGATACAAGATCATCAACGTTTATATTCCCAGACCCATTCACCAACCAACCGCTGGGCGTTTAACAAATGGGGAACTAGGGTGTTAATAGTTAAGTTCTTTTAATCCAAATCCAAGTTATGTAATGTTATATTCAATTACCCCGGTACTTCTATCATTAATTTTTTTCCAGATATATAGATATAGGGCATAGTATTAGTAAATTACAATTACTTACCAGCCAACATACCACGTTCTTTCATTCTCTTTAAACGCTGCTCTGTCCTCAGTCATGTTGAAAACCTCTGCAAGGGTTCTGAATTCGGTGTTATAAGGGAAGAACTGACACTCTTCTTCTACATTCAGCAACGCTCCGTCGATGCCCTCGTAGAGCTGTTTGAAGAAACTGAAATTGAAAGCCTGCATTGCAGTCCAGTTAGCCGTGGCACCGGTCACTAATACCGGCACACCACTATACGCGTGGCGTTCGAGGAATTCTTCCCGTGAGAGATTCTCGACTACAGGTACGCTGTCAAACCCTCGGCATATATCGCAGTTCTCAACGGGTCGTGTGATCTCCATCACCATAAAATTTGTGTCGACGAGACATGGCATTGCTCTGACGTCGTCTACGAGTAACGTAAAGCTGAAGTCCGCGGTGTAAAGCATGAGCAGAAACGCCAGCATCACTGGAAATATCAAGGAAAATACATAGACCAGAGTATTTTTTTTAGCAGGAACCTTGGAAAACAGCCAATATAATAAGAACGACCAGACTCTGTCTACCACTGGCGCCAACCCGGAACTGGCAGAGTTAGCATTACTCTCTCCATCCTCAAATTTATTTTCCGCACGGACCTCCGCGGCCGAATTCCAAGACTTTAAAAAGATTTGCCTTACACGCTCTTTTTCTAATCCATCTTTTTCAGCTTGTCCACGAAGCTTGACGAGCTTCTTGATCAGCTCGTCGCGTCTACTGCCATTTGACGATGTTCCATTCCGGAATTTGTTCGGCATTTCTGTGAGTCCCTGTTGAGCACCACTGGCAGTCAGAAGACATTCAGACGATAACAGTTTCCGGGTTTCGGGTGCCAAACTTTGCCGTTGTTTTTATAATATTTACTGGAACCACGTGACTCGCATCTCGCTTATTATTGGCCCGTAGTGCTGGCGGATAAGTGACGTATTCCAGTTTCAGATTAAATGTAAGAACGGATTTATTTTAATTGAGGCAATTTTCCTTTTGTTTACGGGCAATTTACCACGTGTTTGAATCGGTTGTTCGTGACATGGTGATGTTTAAATGATCGCCGTTATGAAAAATAACATGCTCGACTCGCGGAAGTAAGTGGGAGTGTGCGCGTAGTAATCATTGCCATGGTTACAAGCTCACCTTCGTCGCACCCAGACGAGTCATATTTTCCCTACCGTAATGAAATATTGTTATGTGTTATTGCTGCAATACGACGTCTCTCTGTGACGCAATAGAGCAACACAAATTCCATTTATAATCTGAATTGTGTTTTTGCTAAGTCGATCATCGGCGTCGCAAATTCGACGACTATAATCTGATTTATACGTGGGTATATCACCCATGTACCCCGCGATTAACCCATATTGTGTGTCATTTCGATCATAATTAAAATCGAATTATAAATTCAAAATACAGATATTAAAATTAAAATTTTCATATATATATATTTATTTTTCATATTTTAAATTTAAATTGTCATATTTTAATGTAGTATGGTTTAAAATATGGCCCAAGTGATACACCATACATCTTCATTTTTTGTTTTATTTTGTAATTTTTTCATCTTTTCTCTGTGTCATGGTACATATAAAATGAAAATTTTAAATCAAATACTGTTGTTGATTCTGTTAAAATTAATATTATTGGTACATATTTTCCGAAAAAGACACTGTTTGTGACTAAATGAGTAGGTGAAAATTTAGTGTATTTTCTACTTCATTCGGTTATGCACAGCTTGAAAGCGGCGCTGACCATCTCGGAAACAAATATACTCATCGGAAACAGTTGATAACGCTACGTGGACGGGAGTCAGTCTATAATGACAGACTGGAGTTTTTTTCTGATTTGTTTTAAACCTCAAGGCGAAACATATAAGACCGGGGGAGGCGAGTCATTAGCACACCATTGAACGAATATTCCCACCGCCTAGAGGATCTAACAATTGACAAGGGGTTCTTCTTCCTTATAAATTTGAATATAACAAATTAGAACTAGACTATTGTTTGGTTAATAGGGTCCACGTCCTTGTCCGTCATTATGTTTACGGGGGAATGCCATTTTGTAAACGATATAGTACAGAAGTTGTGTTGTTATTAACTTGCAATTATAAAACATTGTCTCTTATCAATTCTCATGTGACATGTACTGTGTTTATCAAAATTCCCGGATTGGATGTATAAAATGTCAGTGCATGAACTACCCCAAATAGTCAACATTTCAAAATGAGTAATTTACTGAATTCCTCTAAATTTCAGTATCAACAAAATTCGACTACCGTCACGACTGGGACAATATCTCGAGACAGCCAGCGGCACCCAGGAATTGGCAGTCGGGTTTTGTAGACGATGTGGAGCAAGCTGATCCACGAATTGTACATATATATTACTAGTATTTACAAATCCAAAAAAGTGTCTAATTGTTTTCCTCCGTTCAAACTCAGACTTGTATTACTAGTTTGAGGTTCAAACGCATAGTCGAAGAAGGCATAGCGGATTATTGTTACCATGATCCACTGATGCGAACCACCCATTTACGGAATCTCAGCGAAACATGGTTGGCGGAATATCGTAATTCTCAGTGGCGGGCCAGGGGCCATGCCCTCCAAACGCGTGACGATTCATATGATCTGGATTACGCAAAGCTTCTCTGCTTTTTACGCTCCGTATATCTTAAGCGTAGCTTGGACCCCCCAATACATTTTGCTGGATCCGCCACTGGTAATTCTTGCGTCGTTCTATATGTCTACAGACTGACAGACTGAGTTATCTAAAGAAGCAACACGATATCTAAACATTGTTTCGTAAATCTTTCCGGGGTTTTACAGAACCGTCAGGGCAGTTCGATAACTGCCAGAAATATTTCTAATCACAACCGTACGAGGGCGTTTGACCCATAGCCGTCTTTCCCTGTGTGTGTTCGCTCAGCGTAATGTATTTGAATAAAAAAAACCCACATAATAATTAGACTAATAACAATTATTGATATCGTAATATGTCATAAAATAACAGACTTATAAAATAAAAATGGCTGAACTCGTCATGAGCGGATTTAGAGGGGGGCACGACCCCCCCCCCCATTTTTAACAACCAACAGGGCTTCGCGCCATCGGCGCTTGCGAACTTGGCCTTCGGCCAACTTATCCCCCTCCCTTATTCCAGAATCCTAGATCCGCCCTGCTTGTTTCCATATATAACTCACACATTCCAACAGGCCAATTACAAAAAGAAAAACCGGATTCGAGGAGTGGTGATTTCGCGTCTGACCAAGATTTACCAGGAAAAATGAACGGGGAATTATCGTATAGTAAAACAATAAAATTGCACGACTGGGCCGTTCTGTAACTCATATGTAGCCCCAGTGGGCTATATAATCCACAAAATAACACAATAATCAGGAGAAAATAAACATTCATCAATGCAATCCAACGTTTTTTTCTAAAAAACAGACTGAGGAACGACGAAAAACGGTGTTAGTGTGTCCTCGCTGTAGTACTCTGTCGCGGCGGCAGTTCGATGTGCGACTGAACCAATGCCCACATTCGCAACACGGTCGTACGAGGGCGGTGTTTTTATAGCTTCATAACAAAATCTCAACTTGTTCCTTCTAAATTAAAAACAAATATGAAATGGTGGTGTGATTTCAGTTTTTTGTGTGGAAAAAGTTGACCTGTAAGTTGACCAGATGACGCTGCTGTTGCGATAACACATACACAAATACCTGACAAGTAGGGACCCGGAAATTGACGGTTTGCTTTCGGCTGCAATGACGGTACATGACGAGTACCCGAAATACTAGTACATGTATATAGTTCACAGGTAGACTCGGCTGCGCATAACAACAAGTACCGAGGGAAGCAGTGTAACAAACAGTAAAGAGACTGAAATGGAGTCTATATACTTCAGTATACGATTCAGTCAAAAATGATTTGATGTTTTGAACAACTAAACATTCAATTTTGTAAAACCATACTAGGAGTTCACACAAACTCAATGAAGCAGCATTGCGACAAGAGCTTTACTTGGAAGCTACCAAATTCAATGAATTATCATTGATGTTTGCAGACATATGACTAGGTACCATGACAGACTTGTAACTGATGAATGTAATGTTTTTGTGCATTTTTCCTACATCAAGGAAAGCAAAACTATAGGCAACATGGACATTTTTTTCACGTAAACTACAAGAAATTACAGAAACCAATGAGAGCCACCATGATGTTGAAAGTTTTGAAAATAAATTAAAGCAAAAATTTATAAAAGATTTATGATCACCAACTTCACATAAAAAAAGAAATTAATAAACTACGTACATATAACAATTTCAAATCTAAGTACTCTTTGAAACCATACTTGGAATATGTAAATGATGTCAAACACAGAGTTGCCATCACTAAATTTAGAATTTCTGCACATAAACTACCAATAGAGAATGTAAGATATTTACAAATACCACCAGAGGAAAGTGTATACATGCTATTCGACGATATAGCTGAGATGCATGCTTTCTTAGATTGCAAGAACCCGGAGATGGAAACTGCTTGTTGCCAATTTTTCAGAACAATCTCAATGCACAATAAATAATTTGAGAGTTTGCCTAAGCAGATCATGTTTAAGAAACTGTTGAGATAGTTTCATTGTCAACAGTCTATATTGGAGTCTATATTATTTAGAGTCAAATATTCTATTCTACGTGTTACTTAACTATCAGCTTTGCCAGCCAAGGTTCGAATTCGTCCGTGGGCAGAGCAGAGTGTGAGCTATATACATATACATGTATATAGCTCGCGAAACCGTGGATTTCAAGTTGGAAGATAATTCACTGCAAACATACACGTGACCTACCAGTACCCACCTATAAAAGTCAAAGAATCGTCAGGATTTCTGGCTGGCTAAGTTAGGTGGATACTTCGAATCTATTTGCTGCTAACAAATGAGTTCCGCCGGTTCGCGCCCGCGGTTTGTGCCACCGATGCAATCCGGCCTTTTGCAATTGTATTCTACGCCCCCATGAGACCCAGCCCCGTTTTACGCTATGTTTTGTATATTCTCTGTCCAGGAGAAGTATCGAAGAGTTGACCACTCACATCGAAATATGATAATGGGTTCTTCGCTGTGCGTTACGGTGAACCATCGAACGCGATGCGAAGTTTCCAAATCATGTCACCTGGGGGCGCTGCTATCACTGCCCAGTGCGAAAAGCTTTTCTACGAGAAACTATTTCTTGATATCTCCACAGTCCCTCAACAGTGGAGGGACTGTGATATCTCAAAACTTTGACCGGTTTTAAAGGTAGGAGGATTTGAATGTGGGTCTATCAATCATGAGTTTGATGCAACAACCCCTATGCACAGGGGCGGATCCAGCAAAATGTATTGGGGGGGGGGGGTTCTATAGGTCGAATACACGGGACCGTGCGATTCGGACGATGCTATGCGTAATCCAGATGCATTTTCATGCGTTTGGAGAGGGCCATGGCCCCCTTGGATCCGCCACTGCCTATGCAACCAGTGACCGGTATACATTATACAGAAACATGTCTGATTAAATTGCCATTACGTACTGGTACTCTTGACAAATAGTTACTTTTTTTTTATTTATATACGATAAACATTTGTGCAATAGTTTGTCCCGTTTCTGAATTGAACACAAAGTACTTTGACACTTTTGAGACACAATGAAATGAGAATTATTTATATATTTTTGCACAATACTTTTGATTCTGTTGATATAAAATTTGTGACTTTTCACTCCCTAGCACAAGATTA